TGTGTGTGTGTTTTTTTAATGATATTTAGGATATAATATACATGTATTTGGCCTGTGCAATTTGTGGTACATGTACGTGTAATGCCATACCTTTACTTCCGCTTTCTTTTGTTCTTTGTTGTGGAAAATTAATTGTCTGGTTTTCATGTTGGTACGAGTAGGCTAACAAGGTTACCAGAAGTTAAGTTAAGTGTGAAATTATAACAACATTCACACTGCCTAATTTAATTAAGAAAAACAACAGATGTAGGCGTTCACCATTTGCTCAGAGGTAAAATAAACATAATACACATTGACAACCATGTTGGGATGAAAGTGTATCCTAGCATCATGCTTTGTGTTTCAACTCAAATAATTCAAGTTCGCGATGTCCTGTCCCTATATGAGTAGCATTTGTTTTGCAGATGGATCATGTACATGTAAATAATGTTCGTTATTTCTTGATCTCGAAGGGAGCCCTACAGTGGCCAATTTCATAGAGCTGCTTAAGCACAAAATTTGCTCATGCTTGAAAAACCTTGCTAAAAAACAAGTTTACCAGCTCAAACTCTATCTGATTGTCATGCTAACCAAAAGACGGCTACGATCCCGAAACAATAAACATCACAAGGAGTTTTGGCTGGTTACCTGATTTATCAAGCAAGGTTTCCTCAGGCTTAAGCAAATTTTGTGCTTAGGCAGCTCTATGAAAGTGGCTCCTGGTCATTTAATGCAGTGAGTGTCCATACTTTTTATGTTACTTCTGAATGGTTTTGCTAGATTACATGTGCTTAACTACCAGCACTTACACGTACATGACACTACAGTTGGACACTACCAGTAGTGATGGATTTGGCAATATGTCATGGCTTTTTCTCATTGGTGCATGAGTTAGCAAATAGCCACACAAGTAAAGCAAATATTGTATATGGCATAGTACACTAATAATACCAACAATGTGCTCAAAGTGGCTGTAGCAACATATGTACATGTACGGTACAACATTCTTTTTCCGTCAAAACTTGCGTATCGGTACTATATACATGTATCTGCGTGTACGACAAAGTTACATATATACTCTCAGTTCCCTGTATGCACATGCACCTGTATGCACAAATGCCTGACCATACTCTACTGTAAGCCATTTTGCATGTACATGTATATGAGAAACAAAATTGACACAGTAAAGCCCCCCTACTTTTCACAGGTGGCCCCGCCCCAATGCAAGCAACATTTTCTCTGAGTGTCATCCACTGACCTTTGAATCCGAGCGAGCTGACAATGTGGGGGGGGGGTTTCTTATCTGGCTGATCCTAATTAATTTTGCATTGACAATCCCTCCCCTATCAAGAGAGGTGTGGGGGTTATCTTGATGCAGCTTCATGAGTAGGTGTTGAAAAGTGCTGCATAGTTTCGCTCTCCAGGACCTCCATTATCACACTTATGTCCACTTTTTCTTTTGCTGCGTGAATGTACTTGTACATTGGCAGCAAATGCATGTTTCAAAGCAGGATACGTCTGTTTGTTCAATAAGCATGTTTAGTCACCTTTCCAGGATTAAACAGTCTAAAACGTATACATGTAATCTACAAGCTTCCAGTTAATGACTGTTTTAGTGGAATGAGTTGTTATTTGTAATCAAAACAGGTACATGTACATGTTGTAAAGATCAATGTTTTGATTGACAGTTTTGTGTTTCCTTTCTTGAATGTTACTTACATTGTGTACATGTACATGTATGCAGGTTCAGCAAAGCAGTTATGAATACTTTTTTCAACATACCAGAGTTGTTTTTACCCTGAATTAAAAGCAAGTTTTGTAAACATATTGCTGTATGAATATTTTCTTGTGACAAATGTTCTGAACACCCAGCATGTTTAAAAGCCCTTTATTAACAAGACCTGTTTGGCAATTTTTGTTTGGAAAAGCCAATTAAAAAAATCCACCTCCCTGTTTCTATAAAAAGGCAAGATGATTGCCTGCATCAGGAAGCAGTCCTCCTCCTGGACGGTGATAATGGGTCACTGACAATTCCCCATCGATCAAGGCTGTCCTAGGGAGTAGTCCCAAATGGACCAACCGGTACTGTGACTGGCCCGGAATGGACCAATCACATCGGTCATCAATCAGGTGTTTCTTAGAAAATGAGAACAGGTTAAAATGGTTGATCTAAGTTTGTCCCCTGTTATCCTACCCTCACAGGATGAGGTAGTTTAGATAGGACACTATTCATATCAGCTACTTTTTTGACCAGCAAACGTAAGAAAGAGTTGCAAGAGTAGGGGCTAATATAAAAAGCCTGTCTGCCCCGAGTTGAAGTGCACACCCAGAGCCCCAAGCGACAAAAGAAAGACAGATGGTAGTAAGTTTTCCAAGTGGGTTCTTGCACGCGTTCTACATGTATGTGTAAGCAAAGATCATACATTAAGGAATAAATTCATTTCGCGTACTCAGCATGCTCCACGTCAAACGTAGCATTGATCTCCATTATAAACGCGCGCCTATGCGGTGAGTTAAAAAAAACCCTCTTTTGTTCTCTGAGCGGATAGTAGTAATGTGGAATTTTTGCTGGCCATTGTCTGTCAAGTGTTTTCCATATGAGGATGGAGTACATGTATGTATGTTATCAATGACACCAAGTTACATGAATTCTTATTGGGTGAAATGCTGCGATTTCAACTTTTTCTGTACTTAATTTGAAATGCTACTCATTAGCGTAGTCATACTGCACATACCATAGTCCAGACATTCACTGGTCAGTGTTTGTGTCTCAAGTTACAACCATTCAACCATTTCAAAAGATTTTTTTCATGAAATAGCCAACAGTGCCGACCAATTGCCTTTCAGCCATTTATTGCAATTTACTTATTTCATGATGTAAACGACCCAACTTGAGCATTCAGAATATCAATGGAGTCTCTCAAGCTGAAGTGATGATGAACACGGACCCCACAGCTTTATGATATGTCTGTACTGTAATGCATAGCTGTTGTGATAGGGAACTTGATCGGGGGGGGTGCATATGGGTGGGGCCTTAAACACATCAATTTCAAGCATATGAAATAGTAAACAAATTTCAAACATGATTGCATTTTTTCTACATGCATGGTGTTGGTACATGTACATAATCAATATTTACAGAGTTGAAGTGTACGAGTTTCTATCATTTGCGAAGGGTTAAGCCTGTAAGGTTCAATAGATCTTAAATGCATCAGAAATTGATGTGTACATGACTATTTTGCAAGAAGTATTGGTACAATGTACATTTACATATGTACCTTCTGTTCGCTTACCCAACCCCCTAGGGTGTACAGAATCACATTGAAATTGGAGGATTTGTGACTGTTCGGGATAGCTACATGTACATGTAGAGCACTGTGGCTATGCTTCTACCGTATGTATTTAACTACTAGAATGTATAAACTACTAAAAATGTATAAATACATTTTTATTTGTAAAGTTTCTACTTGGGAGTGGGTGTACTTGTGTACAGTTGTGTGCACAGTGCACATGAGCATTAGTTGCAAACAAAATCAAATGTGTTTGAAGTTCTTTTTACGTGTGTCAATGCTCAGTGCACAATTACAATGTACATGTATGTGTACCAGTCTGGACAGGTACCGGTACATGTACCAGTATTTGGATGGGCAATTGTGGAGCTTGCTGATAAACAAGGCCCCATGCAGTGTTTGGCTTGTTGGGCCGGTTTTTCAAAGGAGGAGAATCTGCCCACCTCATTTTGGAGGAGGAAATATTTGAAATATTCTGCCGCTTCTCCCATTGATTAGATGAATATCAAATGTACGGGCACGGGTGACAGCAGTGTGCATTTCGGGTGAAAGGGTTGCCTTGTGGCGGGTGCTGGGACTTGGGATTGTGCCAGAATTTTAGAGCACTTCACTGCCACTTGGCAGCCCTGTCTACTGTTTTCTTCTCTTTTTTTTGTAAATTTTTTTTTTAAAGTGAGGTGGAAAGACGTGTTAAAGCACAAATTTACATATTTGTGAACTGTCAGCCCACACCTTTTACAAGCATGCTTGTGCACCGTACTAAAGACAGGTATGGGGGGCCTACATGTACATGATGTCCCTGTATCATAACTTGTGCACCTAGCAGTACCTATTTTCAGTTTCTGCTCCAAAGTAACATGGATGTGTAACATGCATGATAATGATTTTAGTTGTAGAAGTACATGGGCCTGAAGGCAAGAATGCAAAGGGGTTTGGATGTATAAACTTGTCTTTCACACATGGCTTTCAGATTAGTTTTGTCGTGAAGTTATCAAATATTCCTCAGAAATGCTTTCTTTCAATAATTTACTGCTCTTAAAAATGATTTTTGTGTGTGTGTGTAGTAAATATAAGAACTTTTTTTTGGTGAATTTGTCTGAATTTTGGAGGCATCATGCTTTGCTCTTGTGGGATGGTAGGCTCTCTAGACCAGACAAAAAAACTGTGAGAAGGTGGTCAGACTATCACAAGAATAGAGGTACATAATGTACACGTGTTTGCCATAATTCTGAGGTAGACATACCAGTAGCAGATCATGTTAACTCTAAAAATTGACAAATGCTCTGCACAGAGCATCAGATACCCCCAGAAGAGTGTCAGGTCTGGGCCGCTGACACCACTGAAT